TCGTGGCAAATTGATAATCCCGAGGATTCGGGCAAAGATGAGACACAAGGGAAAAGAGGTATTTTAGACAGCGATGGAGATGCAAATTCGAACATAGAAATCGTCGATCCGCCCAACGAGCAACGATCCGTAAGTAGATTAAGAAAGTTTTTTACGATGATCTCTCCTATGATTGAACGTTATTATTTTTAATTATTTTAACGAGGTATCGACCTGTCTTCTATATATATATAGGTAGAATCGGTGATCGACGAAATTCTCGTGTCTAATCGGCAGGGTCGCAACGTCGAGGGTTTCGACCAATTATACGCAGACCCGGAGGTGAAGAATGCCCTTCAATTGGGAAACGAAACGATCGCTCGTACGTACATCAGGGATAAACTGTGCTCTCTCGGATTAATGAACGTAAGTGTATTCTGGATGGATTTAAATAAAAATTTCGATCGAAAAAAAAAAAAAACAGGAAAAATGAAATACGAATTATTTACTCAGTGCGACAATATCGAGGGACGTCGGCCGTACTATTCTCCTCATCGTGGAATATACCCGCAAGATATAATTTACGCTCAACCCGTGACCATTAAACCTGTCGGCAGACCTCTGCCAGCCGTACCTGTTAAACGACCATACGCTCCTGCCATAAGACCGCCTGCATCGTCCAGCTTCATTTCCTCCGGACCACCACCATCGGAAGTGATCTACGGAGTTGGCGGTGCGCCTCATCCACCTTCGTTTGTCTCCTCCTCTTCTTATCCCGCGTTCAAGAAACCCGGTTATCCCTCATTCTCGTCGAGGCCTGTGTACGAGGCAGGAATTACGAATGAAGGTTTCGAATTCGCGGGTCAATTGATCGACAAAAAGCAGATCGCGTTGAGACCGACGATCGGCTCGGAAACTGTCCAGCAACACGTTCATCATCATTATCATCATGCGAATGGTGGCGCGACGATCGGTGGCGTACCTTCGTCTCTTGGTTACGGTGCTGGAAATATAGGAACGAGTTACGATATTCCAAATTCTGGAGTGCTCGGTGCCGGTTTCCAAGACTTGGACGATTATAAAAAGGCGTTCAAAGTGAAAGAGACGACGAGCAACGATGGTTCCGTGTCGGCGAACAGCTACGCTGAGAGATATCCCGTGTACGAGAAACCGACGCGAGACTTTGAGACCTTGCATGGTAAACCGGACGGTTACAAATCTGGCAAATACTTTTCACCGGGCAACTACGTTTCTCCTAACGCCGTTCAATCGTCTTCCAACGATTACGTTACCTCTGGATCGACTAGCAGCTATTATTACGGAAACACCAATAATGAAGGCTTCGCCAATGATTTTTATACGGAGGATTGCGTCTGCGTACCGTACGGACAGTGCCCGAGAGAACAAGCAGGTCGTAAAGATGATTTATTTCTTCCCATCGATCCTCGAAATCTGAACAAGAATATCGAGGCCGAATCTATGGAGGAGACAGCCGCGATGGTGATAGAAAAAAATACGAACGAAACGTTTATCGTCGGATCGAACGATTTTCAAACTCCTTCACAGAAGGATGAGCAGCGAGAAGAAATGAACAAGGCTCGAAGCAAGAGGGAGACGACGACGGCCGGTGACGAATCGGCAAACATCGAAGGAAGAAAGAAGTCTAACGGTGAAGGGGTAAGAATGTTCAAGCCTTGTTACTTTGTTATTAGCAGAAGTTAGCCACTAGATAGAATCGTTGATATTGTCGTCATCGTTTCGTTTCGAATAGCGAAAGTCAGAGGGCAGGATCCCGGGTTTTTATATTTATACGAGTTGTAATTTTGAACGAATATGGAATAGCGTAACGAAATAGCAAAATACGGATGCAAGATATGTCGGTCTCTATCCACGTGATTGGTTCGACTCTCTGGTTGCAGAGACTCGACGCTAGCGATCTGGACTCTTCGAAATTAAACTTCCAGCCGACCTGGGGAATCAGTTTCGGTCTACCGCAAACCGGTGGCCCGTACCCGATCAACCCTTACGGTAGCAATGTCCTGGTAAATCCATACAGAGGATACGGTTCGACCGATCAAGGCATAGATTTAGGCCTGGTCTCCGTGAATCCTCTACTAGCTGTACAATTCACCAAAGACGAATACGGCGAAAAAGTGGTAAAACCGTTTGTCAATTTTCACGTAACGCCTAATCGGAATATCGTACAGAAACTCGGGCATCTGCTCTCTCACAAGAAGCAAACGCTGTTCGAAAGTTATGGACCTTCGTATGCGCCGCATTATTATCCCCCTAAACCTATCGAGTTTTACGAGAAACCATATTACGTAAACCCACACGGTCCTTTATTCCATCGTTACACTAATCATCGTGAGACACCTTTTTATCCCCATCGATATTCGGATTATTATCGAGACGGCGATGACGATGACAATGACGATTACGATTACGATTACGAGAATTACGATCACGGTATCGCGCGTAGCAATGATAAAATATCCACCGATCATGCGAATGGATCAGCAATTCCGAAACAAACAACTGGTGGCAAAGTTTCATTTCCGAATAGAAGAAAGCGTGACGTAGAGTCTGAAGTGAGAATGGAAACGAAACGTATAACAGAGGTAAGTATTGGCGATCGAAATTGAATAAATCGAGGAAAAAAAGATTTTAAACATTCGTACACGCATTTGTATACGCATCACGTATATATAAATAGATATAATTCATTTATGGTTAAACTTTTGACGTGACATATACATCTTTAAATAAAAATTTGATTCTTTCAACAGAGACAATATACAGGCGTTGGATCAGCTCGAATTTGTGGTCCAGGTTATGTTTGCTGTTCGCAAAGGCAACCGTCGAGAAAACCACGACCCGGTCAGTGCGGAATTAGATATACTCAAGGAATCAATGGAAGAATCAAAACACCTTCTTACATTGATGGTGATGCTGAATTCGGTAAGAAATAGATTTTTAGATCTCGATCTCGTGCAAAGCCAACAATCAGATTTAATTCGCTTATATTCGATAGGTGAATATCCCTGGCAAGTAGCGATACTGAAAAAGGATCCAACGGAAAGCGTGTACGTATGCGGTGGTACTCTGATTTCTCCTCGACACATTCTCACGGCAGCTCATTGCGTAAAAACTTATGCGGCGCGAGATCTTCGCGTTCGACTAGGAGAATGGGATGTAAACCACGATGTTGAATTCTATCCCTATATAGAACGTGATGTAGCAAATGTCCATGTACATCCAGAATTTTATGCCGGCACTCTTTACAACGACATCGCCATATTGAAGATAAATCATGAAGTCGATTTTCAAAAGAATCCACATATTAGTCCTGCTTGTTTACCGGACAAACGCGATGATTTCATTAGAAGCAGGTAAGCATTTATTTATTTTTTTTTATTTATTTACTTTTTTTTACATTATTTATATTTACTCACTTATTTGTGATTTCGTTTTTTTGAAATTAATTTTTCATCGTGGGAATAATGTAGATGCTGGACAACCGGTTGGGGTAAAGATGCATTCGGAGACTTTGGAAAGTATCAAAATATTTTAAAAGAAGTTGATGTCCCTGTAATAAGCAACCAAGTTTGTGAACAGCAAATGAGACGAACAAGATTAGGTCCAGGTTTCAATTTACATCCTGGATTTATTTGCGCTGGCGGAGAAGAAGGAAAAGATGCTTGCAAAGGTGATGGCGGTGGACCAATGGTTTGCGAACGACATGGTCGTTGGCAGTTGGCAGGAATTGTATCGTGGGGCATTGGTTGTGGACAACCTGGTGTTCCTGGAGTTTATGCTCGTGTTTCTTATTATCTCGATTGGATTCAACAAATTATTAATCGTTATTGATTCATCATCAAAAAAATCATTCGCTATCTCTAATATTTGGATCATATTCAATTTCATTCGTTATTTCGATTTTATTTAAACACGTTCACTTTATCACATTTCGATTATTCGAACTTTCAATTGTAACTTTAATACAATTTCATCATAACGAAGACTCGAAGATTTTATACAGTAATTATAATTTATAATATAATATAAGAATGTGTATACAGATGTAGTATGCTAAGTAAATTAATTATAATTATTATTTTTTGAACGATTGATAATTATCGTTTTTTTCGTGAATAGTGATTCGAAATAAATTCGGATCGTTAAGTACTGCATTTTATTTGCAATATATTTGTTATACTTTGTTCTAATAAACATTACATAAATTACATTAAATAAATAATACAAATTATGACTTTATTTATTAAAAATATTAATCATTGTTGTTCATATGCATCATAATCTGAACTTTCAACTTTCAATATAAACAAAAAATCTAATTTATATTCGTAAAAATAAATGTCTCGTAATAGAACGTATCTATAACTAATTTGTTGGATAATACAATATTATTCATCATTATCAAATACTAATCAAAATTATAACAAATAATTTTATAGCAAAAATTAAATTTTTAAATTATATCATATTTTTAAAATTAAAGACAATACTATAGCCGTGTTATGATAAATAAGTAAAATTAATCATATAAGAACAAGAAATAGAAAATACTATTTTCATGACTTCTCAAGTAAATTTTTTAACCTTCAAGAGTTTAAATTAAAATTATTTCTTAGAATCTAAGAAATATTTTGGGACTAATTATATTTATATATTTTTCCTCGTTTAAAAATTAAAAAAATAATTGGAAAATTATTCAAAAAGTTGATATTATGACATCTATTACATCTTTCAAAATTGTACAAAATTGTTTATTAAAATTGAAGACTGATGTCATCTTTTGAGTATTTTTCGAAATATATTTTCAGTATTCAAGATTAGCGCTAATCCTCAATTCTTAGTTTTTGTTATCTTGCTTCAAGAAAATATCTTAGCATTCAGGAAATGGCGCTGATAATCAATTCTTGTTCTATCTCTATCTTTTTTTTATTATATTCTATCCTTTCTTTATGTATTTGAGACACTCTGAAGATGGCGCTGATTCTTGTTTTTGTCTTATATCTGTCCTTCTTCCACTATTTATCCTCCTTGTTTATATTAAACAAGAAATCTAACCTTATTTCAGTGAAAAAGAATTAGCCGATTTTGAAAACAAAAACTGAGTATTGAGTGGACAAAACATGGTGATAAAATATATTGGTAGGACGCATTATTTGAAAGGCAAACCATTGTGGGAAATATTAGGAAACTTGAAGAACAATGGAGTAGGTAGAATGATAATACGAAGTACTCAACAAAGGTATCCTGAAGCTTCCTATATGAAAATACTTAAAGTTGCAGCATTACCAGATACTTCAAAACATTTTCATGTACATTCTTCTTCCTTATAATGATTAATGCGATAATTTAAACAAACTAATAAAAAAAATTCCATATCCTAGGATCCACGGAATGTTATAGTATTGGTCGAACAAGTTTTCCGAGGTAAAAAGCTTTCTATACCTGTACAAATAGATACAGTGACTTATAAGCCAGATTATATATTGATTCCTAAAGATCAGGAGGCAAATTATATAAATAGAACTCAACAACCAACGCAGAGGATCATGCCAACAACTACAAACTTTCCACCTCTTTTAAAAGAAATATTAATGCGTCAAAAAGATCTGAAAGAAGATTCTTCCAATTTAAAATTAAAACTGAAATATGCTTCTTTAGGTATTAAAAACTATAAAATCGCTGAAGAAGGTGAAACTCCTACAATTAATATCGATATAGGATTAGGAGAACCAGCAAGTCCTAGTTTATATACAAATATTAAGCAAGAGAACACATCGTGAATATAATTTTATATATTTAACGAATCTTATAATGTAATAATAAAAATGAAATATTTGTTTAAACTAGGATGTTATCCTTTGGTATGATTTTTAAATAAAAGATTGTTTTTGCTCCAGCGACTTTGCTATTGATTGATATTTTTCACATTTAATTAAAGCTTCGCGTTCATCTTGTGAAATATCTGTAAAGATGCAAAAGATACACAAAATCTTAATATTATATTAATAATCATATGATTATTGATATAAATTTCAAATAAAACGTACTTAAAAATTTTTGAGATTGCAAAATATCATTTTCCTTTTTCTTAAAGAGATTCTTCGTCGCAATATCCTGTAACGAATAACATGTAAAATAATCTATATAATTAAAATAAGATACAATATAATACATAAGTTTGAATGAAATAAAAAAATTATATCAAATATATTTCAATTTTTTTATTACCAACCTTCCAAAATTGTCTCATTTCTTGAATATCCGTGCGTTTTCTTACAAGCCAACCACGAACATATCTTTGTATGTATAATGCCGCTTTATCCTCGGACCATAACCAAGATTTTGGATAATATGGCCTAGGACTAAAGATAAAATAAATAAAATGTATAAAATTTTTATAAAATAAATAAAATGTATATTTTATATATATATATAAAACATTTATATAATATTATAAAACATTATATAATAACATTTGAGATTTTTTACTTACTTAAGACGCAAATAATTTTTAAATGAGGGAATTTGAAATACATTTAGAGGAGGTGAAAATGTTTTCGAACGACGTGGATTACGATTCCATAGAATCTCTGCGATATGATCGAGACCATTAAAACGACATTTTTGTACCTATTGATGATTTATTTATAATTTTTTATACGTATTATTAAATATTTGAGCTTCAAATTTAAATTTAAATTAAAATTTAAATTATTATTAAATCAATTTAAAAATTACATACTCGAAGAATATTTTGTTTAGATGCCTCCATAAGTGTTTCTTCCAATGCAGGTATTAACAAACAAAATATTGTTTGATCGAGATAATTCGAAGGCAACAGATCATTTTTTTCTTGGATAATGATTTTCTTTTCCTTTTTTCTCTTAAAATATTTCGAACAGTCGCAATTATTAAAATTATTTAATATTGAATCAGTAACCGAACTTGTCTCAGATATCTCATTTAAACATTCTTTTTCACAAATATTCATTTCACAATTTTCTTTCGATGGTATAAAATACCAATTTATATCAAAAATATTTTTCTATTCGAATATTGTATGGTATTGTATGGTATTCAGAGAGAGAGAGCAATGGGATAATTGAATACACGAAAATCATTTGTCAACCATTAATGATATAGCAAACCGTCAAATAACCAGCAAGATCGATTTTTCGATCAAAATTTTTATTATGGAAGGTTTGATAGAATTATTGTAAATCTTTAAAACGATTTTAAAGATTTTTATGAAATTAATCTAAATGCCTGCATGCAAACCATGGTGTCCTTTGGTAAAGAATCAACTAAAAAAAATAGGTATAGCTTATGTTCGTCGTTCTTTATTTGAAATATTTTTATTTATTTTTGCTCTTCAAAATAATTAACACAATTTCTAGCTACTGAAGCACCATGGATTTTAAAGAAAGATCTTCCTCCAAGTGAAAAACCAATTATTGATAAAAGAATTTATGAGCCACCAGATATTAAACCTGATATTAAACCAGATATCAGGCCAGATATCAAACCAGATATTGAACGAGTTATTGAATATGAATATGATCCAGAGAAAGTAGCAGAGCTTCGAGAGTTTTATGAATTAGAGCCTGAAATCAAAAAAGAAGATGTAATAGAGATTCCTAAAATCAAAAAAGAACCAGATATTATAAAAGAATATCCTCCTGAGGTTGAAGAATTAAAAAAGAACCAGATATTATAAAAGAATATCCTCCTGAGGTTCCAGAAATTGTAAAAGAGTATCCTCCTGAGGTCGCAGAAATTATAAAAGAATATTCTCCTGAGGTCCCAGAGATCAGAAAAGAATATCCTCCTGAGATCCCAGAGATCAAAAAAGAATATCCTCCCGAGATCCCAGATATCACAAAAGAATATCCTCCTAAGGTTCCAGAATTATAAAAGAATATCCTCCTAAGATTCCAGAAATTATAAAAGAATATCCTCCTGAGGTCGCAGAGATTATAAAAGAATATCCTCCAGAAGTTCCAAAAATTCATATAGAATCTGCTACACAGTGGGACGTAGACGAGGGTAATTACGATGTACATGATTAGAAACATATCGAAAAATGATAAATCGAATTCGAAATATATGTATAGCTAAATTTTTAGAAAGACACGAAATAGAAAAAATAACAAAAATAGATAATAATTTTTTGATTTTTCCAGAAACAATTAAAAAAATGAAAAAGATAAAGCGTGTGGATAAAGAAGAGCCTGTAATATTTCCAGAGGAATGTGATCCATTTTGTCCTCGTCGTATATCGCGAAGCAAGTATATTTTGTTATATATTGTTATTATCGATGTTAAATATTAAAATATTTAATATGATTTCTATAGAGAATAGAATACGCAAACTTGAAGAAAGGCAAAGCATCATAGATTCTTATTTGTTAAATAAGGGTACAAGTTACTTCGATGATATTTGTACTTGTTCACTTTCCTGTGTTATTCGTGCCTTAAAAAATGATTCTTTTATCAGAAGTACATTAACATCTCTCGCATTATTTGCAGTTGGATTGAAACTTTGTTCAGAATTAGATGCATGGTATTTGCCAATTAGGTTTTCATAAAATTAAATTGAAATAATAAATACAAGTAAATCATTTGTGTAATTAACTCCATTTGTTGTTATTTTTGCTAATATAAATCTTTGTTTAACCATACATTTAAACATTTTTTAAGAAATAATTTTGCCGAAAATAATTAATACGATACATCATTAATTTATGAAGAGAATAATTTCGAATAAAAAAAACTGCTCCAGGTGAGGCTCGAACTCACAACCCCGGCATTGCTCACGATTCACTGTCTTATAAGTACCGTGCGCTAACCAATTGCGCCACTGGAGCTGTTGAAAATATTTCTCTCTAAGAACAATTTTCAGCACTTCTATTATTGAATTGAAAAAAATATATTATATTACAAAGCATTGCATTTACTTAACTATAGTTTGTTGTTTATGATGTCAAAGAAGAAAATTTTAATAAGAAAAATGTATAGTCCTTGTGAAAAGAAAAACTTTTTATGATTGAAAGCATCGATAAACTACATTCATGTGTAAGTACATATACATAATAGATAGATAGTATAATTTGTAAGTATATCTTGTTGGCAAATCGAAATACAATACAAATATTAAAAATTAATAAAAAGTATCGAGTATTTTATTATTTATAAAATTATTCCAAAAGAGAAATAGAATGCAAGTATACTGTTATCATCAAGTACTTAATAAATTTTATCTTTTCCATATTTTTTCTTCTTTTTGTATATTTGTATTATATAAATTTTAACAAATTATACATATATTTAATTATTATAACTTATTATGCAAAAAGAATATTTATAAAATATGTTATCATGTGAATATCATTATTTTCGTTTAATATAATAATTAGTATGAATTCGTGGTAAAAATACTTCAAGATCATTTTATTCTCGATTTTTTATTTTTTTAATTTCACTAATTTTATATTTTACAAAATTTTCTAAAACAATATACAAATAAATATGTGTAAGTAAATAAATTTTTTCTCTTATTTAAATTGTTTAATTGATATTATTAGTAATTAAATATTTTCTTCATAAAATAAATTAATACGATAATGTTAATAATTTTAAATTAATGTCAAATATAATATATGACAGTATATACGTCAAAATATAGTGCTAAACGCTGTGTCTTTTGCTTTCTTATCGAATTTTTAGCACAAAAATAGGAACACCAATTTCCCATTATATTTCATTTTAATTATAAATTGTGTAATTCTTTTTTAATTTATTATATACATGGATTTTCAAGTATATATGAAAAATAATGTCAAATGTAAATTTAAATATTATTTTATATATTCTAACCTCTAATTATTATATTGTTTTCTTTTTGTTTTCTTTTTTGTAAAATTAGTTTCTCATACAATTTTAAAGTAGTATAATAAATGTTTAACAAAAATATATAATTTTAATATTATTCATTTTTTTTATATTTATCATGATTATATTCTCTTAGATATAATAAAGAATGAGCTGGTTTGATGCCACCGGATTTGCCAATTTGGCTAAGTCTGCTTTGAAAGAAGCTCAGAAAACAATTGATAAGGCACTAGATATCAAAGATGAGGATCAAAAACCATTGGAAAGTCACACGGAGGATACATCAGATTTTTTTGCATCATGGGGATTAAAAAGTGATGTTCATCATGATGTTCAGCCACATCGTGATAAAATGAAAGAATCCAAACAAGAAGCTACAAGTAGTATATGGGGTAGTTTTACTGGATCATTTTTTGAATCACCAAAATTTAATGAAATGGATCACAATGCAAAACCCAATGCTCATTCCAAATCTTTACAAAGTACACCTATTGAAAATGAAAAAAAACTTGTATCTTCATCATCATTTTCAGAAGATTATAAAATTAAATCATTGAATCCTAGGAAAGAATCTAAACAAGCAGAAATTTGCAAAGAGAAAAATATTCATGATCAAAATGTTCTTAGTCAAGATGTTAATACATGTAATGATCTAAAACAAGTAATTTCATTAGAAACAATTGATACAAGTATAACTTTTGCCAAAGATGATGAAGTTAATGATTGTTCAAATACTAATATAAATAATCCTAAAATAGTAGAATATTCTTCAAAGGAAATGAAAGATATTAATATTAATATTAAAATGGAAGATGTAAAAATGAGATCTGAAGATAAAGAAATTCGCGAATATGATTCAGATTCTCCTGTCTCCACATCTAATAGATTATCCTTTGTATCTCCAGAAAATGATAAGAAAAGTTTGGAGAGTGTTGAAATTCTTGGTTCTCGATCTAATACCGAATGTACTACATCTCCTGATTCAGACAGTTGTTCTGTTAGTAATTTGGCAAGTCCAGCTACAGGAACTAAAGTTAATTCCGAGTCTGTAGAAATTCTACCAGATAGTTTAGTAACATCACCAAGTTCTGTGGAAGTGTTAGGAGATTGGAAAAGTGATACCAGCCCTTATTTATCTCCTATAGATCAAAAAAATTCTGATTCATCATCTATTTTAGATCGAGATGATTCAGTGACTCCATGTTGGGATGATATCAATGTTCCTCAAATTATAAGTAAAGAAAATGTGATAAATCCATCATCTTCTGATATTTCGCCATATGAATCTCCAATGGAAGAAGTCAAAACATTGCATGAAAATTTATATATAAGCAATATGGATGAGCAATCATCAACAGAAACATATCTAGAAATTGAATCACAATTACATAAAAGTCTATCCACTGGACATTCAATGAAAGTTTTACCAGAAAATGTAGAAACAATATCTTATTCTGATGAGAAAGATGAAGTAAGCTTAGCAGAAGATTCTTATACTTCTACATCAGAAAGTACAGTTATAACAATGTTAGAAACGCTTCAGCAAAAAGAGCAAGTGAAGAATAAAGTGGAAATATCTAGTGGTGTTTTACCAAATGAAAAAATATATGATTTATGTTTAGATAGTAAGCTAACTTTAAAAAAAACTAATACAGATATAAAACTGGATTTGAATCTTGATTCTTTAACTGAAAAACATAATTTACATTTACCAATTGAAGCAATTACAACGCAACCAATCCGTAAGCCAGAATATTTTGATGGAGCAGGTAAAATATCTGAACCCGATCGAAAGAGTTTTGATCGATTAATAAATTCTACTATAGAACCTACAGAAACAGAACATTCTATTGAAATTAGTCACCTATTTAAATCAGAAAAGATAGAAGTTTCAGATCAAGTCTTAATTTCAACAGATTCAAGTTGTGAAGGTACTTTAATAGAGAGTAGTTCAGAAGAAAATCCACAATTGATTCATAAATCAGAAGGAAGAGATTTACAAGCACCTTTAAACTCTAGTTCATATGTAAAGACAATGTTAGAAGATGCAATGATTGAAAAAGGAACTGAAATTATTGAGGCAGAAATACAAGGTACGGAAATGCCTCGAGAAAATTCTCCTATTTCATCAGAGAGGTATTATATCTAATAAGCCTTTATAATATAATTATAATAATTTCAAATATAAATTTGATTTTATTTATTATAGTCGATCTGATCTAGTAAAAATTGGCTCTGATCAAACTAGTGGTCATACTAGTGGAGATGAATTGGAAACTACTACTTCTAGCGATATTGAAATTATATCCAGGTATAGGTATGACTATAAAATAATAATTATGTGTAATTTTATTTTATAACTGTATATATAGTTTACAATTATAATCAATTTTTTCCGAGTTTAATAGCAAATAATTTCTTTTTAAAAAAAGTCCAAACGGTGATTCAAGTTCTATACAATCACGACAAAATTTGGCAAAACTACAATCAGCAAAAGGCGGCGATCTTTTATTGAAGACATTAAAAACTAAAGGACATTCAAGAGAATTGAGTGAAATTAGTGTAGGATCTGATGAAGCAAATCTTGAAATTGAAAAATTATTAAAACGTATACAAGAAATGACAGAAATATTAGAAGCTAGAGAATCAAAACTTATTGATGTTAGCAGAATGAATATGGAATTGCATGAACAAAATAATAATTTGAAAAAGTAAGTTCAAAAAAGTATGTATGACTAAAGAATGTATAGTTATTCTTTTATTTCTTCAGAATATTATTATGATATTATCATAATTTTTTATTTATCTTTTTTTTTATATAGACAACTTGATAACTTTGAAAAACATGCAGAGCAAAATCAAAATATAAATCAAATTACTGATGAATATACGCAACGGCTTTCTGCCTTAGAAAGAAAATTTCAGCAAGCAATACGAGAACGAGATTCATTAAGAAAAAATTTGGAACAGTTGAAAGTAGAAGCAGCTACGCGTTTGTCATCTCAAGAATTGTCTACTTTAAATGCTGAAAAAGATGAAATTATTAAGGAACTTAGAGAAGAAGGAGAAAAATTAAGCAAACAACAGCTTCAACATAGCAACATTATTAAAAAATTACGTGTTAAGGAAAAAGAAAATGATACTTTAATAAAAAGTCAAAAGTACGTAACATCTTTCTTTTGTTTTCATTAATTGAAGAAGATAAATAGAAAATAAAAAAACAAATGGAAATAAATAACAGATATTATTAAAAAGTTACAATATTTTAACATTCAATATATGCATTATTACAGAGAACAAATAGAAGAACAAATTTCAGAATTAGAACGTCTAAAAAGATCATTGCGCGCAAAAGAAGAAGTTGAATTATCTCAAATAGATGCTGTTTATTCATTAACAGCACGAACAAAAACATTAGAGAAAGAAATAACGACATTACAAAAGCAATTAGAGAATATGATGCATAATGCAGATAATTATAAAAAAAATTTAGACACTACAAAAATGTTAGTACTGTTAGACACTAGTAAAATATTATATTATATACCAATAATAATATTTATAACTATATATAATTATGAGATTATAATCTTTCAGAGAACTATCTGAAACAAAAAAAATTTTAGCAGCAACAGAAGTGGAATTGAAAGAAGCAACAACTAATGTTGGAGAATCGTGTCAATTACTTGCACAAGTAGAAGAATTAAAAATTAAATTAAGAGAATCTGAAGAAATGCATGTTAAGTAAATATCTAATTATTATTCATTTTAAACAATGGTTAATTTATTTATTTTTTCTTTTTTTATGTTCTATATAGGAAAGAAGAATTTCTAAAGCATGAAAATAGTGAATTATTAAAGCGCTTAGAAGCGGCCGAAGCTAGAAGTGAAGAACTTTCAGAATCTGTATCAATGGCCACAAAACCATTATTGAGACAATTGGAACAACTTCAAGCAAATTTGTTACATAAATCTAATAGTTTTATGAAACAGGAGAAAACATTATCAGAAAAAAATATTGAATTACAGACAAAAGTAGAAAATTTACTCGAAACAGATCGTTATCTTAAAGAGGAGAATATTAATTTAAAGTCAAAGATATCTCAGTTAGAAACTAAGTTTACTGTTAAAGAAAACGAAAGAAAACGATTACAAGAATTATACGATGAATTAGTGATACAAAAAGAAAAATTTGCTGAACAAAATATGCGGTAAGAAAAATTTGCGATCTTTGGTTTGGAAATATTTTGTCTAATTGTAAATGAAAAAATCGATGGAAACACAGTTGTTTGCAGGCAGCGACAAATGATAGAAACTCTTGAACAATCTCACTCTACAGAAATAATGGAGTTAAAAAGAGAAATTGTTGCGTTAGAAAATAAATTATCTATAGAAAAAGCAGCTACAGATGCAGAAAGAAGAAAAAATCATGCAATGTCAGAGCAACAACAAAATATTGAAGATAATGAACGACTTAGCCCTAGCACTAGCACAGAAGAAGATTCTGTAAATACTATAGACAGTATTTGGCCGGTAATAACTATACACAATAATTATCTTATTTTTTTAATAAAATGTTGAAAAATTTTATTTCTTTTCTTTTTTCTTTCTTTGTTTCAGTTATATAATTCTACTGCCGAAAACAAATCTGAAAGTTATGCAATGACATTTGATAGTATCAGAACAGGATCTAGTAGTACTTCTATATTTGAGAATTTACAAGCTCAACTGAAACAAAAAGATGGTATATGTTTAAATATATATATATATATTAATAGCAAACTATATTGTTTTAGTAAATTGAAAATATTAATTATTCGCTTGAGTTTTTAGGTGAAATTCAACAACTTCAATGGGAATTATCGCGACGTAATATAGAAAGAGACGTGTTAAATTCAGAATTATCTACATTAACTTTAAAAATAGAAGAATTAAATGTTAAAGTTATGAATGTTGCAGTTTTAAATGAAAGTTTACAAGAAATACAAACTAGATATGATGCATTGTTACAAATGTATGGTGAAAAAATGGAGGAAAATCAAGAATTACGTTTGGATCTACAAGATGTCAAAGAGATGTATAAAACTCAAATTGATCAACTTTTAAAACGAGATACTTGAAATTTTTAAATAAAAGTTGATTGAATTATTTAATACAATAGATTTAGAATTATGAAAAAATTAATACTTCATAATGATATAAATATTACTATAAGTTTCCCAATAATATTACATTGTGTTGTAATGAAGTTGTTGAAGTTTAAGACAAGTAAAGGAAGAGACTGATGTGAGAAAAATTGTATTAATTAAAAGATTTAAAGTTTCAAATTTAATTAAATAAAATAAAATTATGTTTGTTTATATTTTATATAAATGTTCATTTTACAGAAAATACTTTTAGAAAATTCGAGATTTTTTTTTTCACTAAATTTGCAGATGATTTGAATTTCTGTAATTACATTAATTCACAAATTAATTAATTTAGCTACAATTTTAGTTTAATGTGATTTAATTAATTAAATCATCAGTTTCAGTAAAATTGTAAAATGCAATATGAAATTTTATTTATATTGCAATTATCACTATTATTTCATTAATTGTTGAAATTAATCATTATGCGTACATTTATGCATATATATATATACTGCATACAATTTGGGTAAAAGAAACAACGTGACATAAAATGTAATATAACTTTAAAGTTTTCACTATTGTAATATAGAATTGAATTATAATATAATTTATTAAAGAAAAATTTTTCTTTATTAAAACCTATATATTTTTTTTTTTATTTCACTAATATAACAATAGTTTATGATTTTAATCGAGATAGGAGAAATGAAGGTAAAAATTTTAGACAAAAATGTACAATCTGTATTTTAAGATATTCACGAAAATTGAAATAAAATAAATTAAAAGAGAAAATTATAGAAAATAGTTTCGACAGGCATCAAACGATGATATATAATCAAAAAAAAAAAAAGACAGAATAAGAAAAAATCATTGTACATTTAATTGAGGTCTAGAATAAATGAATAGTAGTCATGATTGTTTCTCAAAAGTGTAATTAAACCAAAGGGAATACATCTTTTTCATAATTTTTATACATACCATAAATTTTATTGATTATAACGTACGACTTCTTTCTCTCCCTCTTTCCCTTAAGAAAAAAAAAAAGAAAAAAGGGAAAACTATAATCAAGCACCGCTTTGATCACATTTTAATATGAAAAAGAATAAATTTTGTATCATATATATTTGTAATATCATTTTTTTCTTGACATTTTCTTTCTTATAAACTATTGTAGATTGATGACTGATTATTATGAACATTATATAATATTTGTGAAATAAACTTGCAGTAAAGAATATGATGAATTCTACCAAATATAAACATAATACAGTAAATTGTATGATTTGAACAATTATCGATTGAAATTTTGGAAAAACATGTACTCCCACTTCAGGAAAAAAAAGTACAAATGCTGGTCATGATGAGTTACATTAATATCGAGTAGCGAATACGAACACGAAAAATACGCTTTGTTTTTCATCCAGCATCTCAATAATGAATCTCTTTTACCTTATACGCGTCTCGACAGTGACATATCGTTCTTGGTCCCGCTTTAATTTTCCAAATATGTCTTTTTCTTGAATGTTATATACATTCTCTTCCAAGATTAATTTATAATCATAAAATTCAACCAATTGATACATTTGCTAAAAGAAAAAAATAAGAAATAACAGATTATTAAAAAAAGAGTTTCTCTTTTGAATGAATACTTGTGGCAGTTAACGTGTCACCATCGACGCGTTAATCATTATCGAGCTTCTCCGCATCATTGTCAAAAATTTCTCTTGTTACTTCTCATCATTTTAAAGATGCGGTAGATTCTATGTTTTTTCCAAATCTAATATCAACATTTAAACATTCAAGCAATATATGTAATTAGACTGTTGTCTTTGATTCAAAATTGTATGTTGGTTTATATTTTCTTCCTCTCAACTTTCAATATGTTAGACAAAGCATACTCTGATGCTTTGTCCATAATAATATGCGCGCATATTTCTTTTAATTCTGTTTCTTTTGTCTCTTGGCTACTGTATGTTAGTCTATTATGACCAGACAAAATTGCTTTATGAAGGAAAATACACAAAGATTACGTTGACGGAAAATGGGAAAGAAGAAACTTTGGATCAGATGGTATGCATTGTTAACAAGAGATTTTTGAGATAATCATAGAACCGGTGCCAGAATCAAAGTTCGATCGTAAATCGCGCAAGAATTTCTCTGTATGCAAGTGCGCGCTGCCGAACTTAAACGGCATCCTTACAGACATGAACTTTCTCTTTCAGGTGACAACGAAGATGTACTTCACACCTGATCGGACAGAGAGCTGTCTCTATCGAGCATAGAGCGAGGAACGGTACGAAGTCGAGTACCGAGTCTAACGAGCATTAAACCATCGACGCGAATGCGTCAATCTTTTTTCCTTCAGACCCATGGTGTCCAACCCTCATATAAAAGGGCTAAATTATCGGTGCTCTGAGCTTCACGTATCACATATTCCACTTGTTCAGCCGTTGTATACTTTCTTGTTGGATGAGGATCACATCCTTCAAGCTTCATTCGTACACGATGCCAAACATTTAGCGCATACGCATTTCGCTCTTGAACAGCTGTAAAAAATATATATATATAAATTTATATAAAAGAAAAATAGAAAAAGAAAGAAAAAAGAATAAAAAAAATTTAAATAATTTCATGAAATTATAATTAAGTTTAGTTAAATTAAGCTTACCTTTGCCTGTAGTTGGATCTCGAATTGGTGGTATTCCTTTCCTAGGACTATAACAGACACCCTCTTGTCTCATTAACTTTCCTTTCTTCTTTATCGAACCAAGTATTAAATTTTCGGTTTCACTTTCTCGCTCACGTTCTCTTTCTTTTTCTTTATCTATCTCTCTTTGTTTTTCAGATATTTTTGGATTTGGTTTCTTTTCATTGGCAAACTCTAATAATTCATTGTATAAATTTGGTGCTACAGTCGTCATATTTTCTAATTCTTCTTTAATTGACCTTCCTCTGTTTGCATCTAAACTATCGGATTCAAGTTCTTTTACGATCGCCGATATGCTTTCTGTGAAAGATCGATATGAAGAAAGAAATTCTTGTAGGCCATCAATATTTTCTTGTTTTACCATAGTTCGTAATAAAATTCGAACATCTGACATTAATCTGTGATGTTCGGTTAATACACTTTGCAAATTTGATACTTGTTCTCTCAAACGTTCTTGAGCAGAAAGCAAACCTTCTTGTTTTTCTTGTAATTTCTTTTGTACATCAAGTATTGCTTCTGAGATAAATCTTTCGGCTTGCTTTAACCAATTCATATCAACATTGCTTTCCATATGTAATAATTCGACAAGGCTCTCTTCAATTGCAGTTACAGTTATATTTAGATTTATCGTCAAAATACAACTTTCTTCCCAATGCTTAATTAATTTGACAAAATTTGTGTCATGTGTCACACTTTCTGATGTTCTAGTTCTTAAAGCCTCATAATGTAATATAGAATTACAAGTATTAATAACACTAGTTGCAAGATTGTGTTGACGAGTTAATTTTTCACAAGATGAGAGGACTGCATTATCGAATGCAGACATAACTTCTCCAAGAGCAGGATTCGCTCCAGCAGCCCATTTCAATCGTTGCACTGCGCTAGAAACCAGATTTTGTTGTTGATCTCGTGCCTCGCATACACGAGATTGTAAAGCAGAAAGTGCTGTCGCTGTTTTTCGGAGTTCTAACATGAATCCAGATCGATCTAAAAATAAAAATATATAGAATATAAATATTTAAAAACAAAAATGAATAATTCTGATATAAAATTAAAAAGAACTTACTCAAAGGATTCATTAAATTAACATTTGATCTAATCAATAAACTGTCTTCGTGTAACCAGTGATGAGCTGTTAGTTGTAATTGAAGTCTCTGCATGCTAGCTCTAGCTACTTCAACACACTGTTGAGCGAATTTGGCACTTTGTTTTCTTCGCCAAGCACTTTCTAAAGTACTACTAAGTGCACTAGCTTGAGCAAGAACAGATCCAGAAAAGAAACCTCTCTTCAAACAAAGATCGACGACCTTTCTACACAATTCTTCTATAGAAACTTTACTTTCAGCTCCAATATCTCGCTGTTCAATTTCAGTAGTTACACTTAAACCCATTCTCTGTAATAAAAAGCAAAGTGCAATAGCTAATGTTTGAGAGGTAACACCAAGCAATTGTCTTGATACGTAATCCGCTGTAAAAATTCTTATAGGTTTATTTAATCTCTCGTCATCATAAATATTTGCTAAACCGCCCTTGAATGCAGTTGCAATATCTCTACACATCATAAAAAATTCTTGTATAGTGTGCAAACGTTTAACTAAAAATATATCCTCTAATACTTGACAAGCTGTTTTATTGAATATAGGTGCGGACATTTCTTTTGCTTCCCGAATCTGATCAATTTTTCTCCAAGATGGAGGTATATCCAGCGTATTCAAAGTAGCAATTAACGCGTTACCTTCCATCTGAAGCTTTTCAAACAAACCATTGAAACCCATTAAAAGCATTTGACCAGGCGTCAATGTTTCATCTTGATTCGGTTCTTGAATTTCGGCAGGTCGAGATAATAATGCTTCGAATCTTAATCTCATATTATTTACAACATTTTGTATCATTGCATGAGGACTTTCCATTTCCATTACAGTAAATCTTAAGTGCATTTCCAACTGACCTAAGATTTCACTAAGAGGTATACCGGATGATACAATTATTTCGGTTAATTCTCCTATCATTCTAATTATAGTTGGTTCTTCTGTTATGATCGTTTTCATCGCTTCAGGCAAAATAATTGTATGGAAATTATAATTAAGTTCTTGTAACCCTTTATATATACAATCAGATCCTCTTAAACATTTTAATATAAGAGATATTTTAGGATCATTGTTTGCTTTATGACATTCAGGTATTAAACTGACAAGTTCAGCGATTAACGATGACATTAAACGCATCTCATCTAAAAACCAATCTCCTTCTCTAGACGTAAGATCAACTAAACAATCTCCTGCACATTTAGCAGCACCTTCCATAATTAAATATCTTTTATTTAGAGCACAAAGTGCAGTTATGTTAACGCATTCAAGTGCCTTTTCTGCTCCTTTTTCTCGTCTCAGAAAGCTTTGAATTTGTACTCTTGATTCTCCATATGTTTTTTCTATTCTAGTAACTGAATCTGGTAAACCTTCTGAAACCATCCTTTCATATGCTTTTTTTAATCTTTCATTTGCTTCATTTAAAATTGCTTGCATCTGATAAGAAAATGTTATTATTTGTTGAATTTGTTGATTATTAGGATTTTTTATTGGATCAAAAGTATTCTCAAATTGCATCATAACTTCGCGACAAGTTTCGACACTTCCAGTATTTAAAAGTTTATTAGCCCAACCATGATAAAGTACTGTACGATGTTGCGACATATTACTCAATGGATAGAGACTGCAAATTGCTGAATATTGGCTCAATAAATCCAAACAATTTCGAATTAAAATAGATTGTTGCGTAGCTAATTGAGTTAATTCATTTTCCGATTGTTCACATTGAAGGATCATTTGACTTTGGCCAGCATTTTGTAAGAATTCTTTAACAAGATCAAAAACTACGTGATCTTCTTGATTTGTAGAAGTTCCCAATTCTGCCAACCACTGTCCTAATTGTGGACCACGTACAGAGGAAAGTGCCATCTAAAATTACGAAATAATATTAGATTTTTCAAGTTAGAAAAAATAAGGGAATTAATCGTAAGCTTACATTGTGCATATTAATCTGTTTTTCACAATCTTCGATTTTTTCTTTTAATCCACTTTTTGCTTTTTCATGAGCATCACGAGCTCTCTTAAAAGAATTATAACGCTTTATTACGGAGTATAATGGATGATTACGTCCCATTGCCTGTGCTTCCTTTACTAAAGCAAGTTGTTGATGACGATCTTGAAGTAAATCTTGACACTGGCGTGTAATATCTGTTGCTTCTACCCAGCAATTCAATTGGTGGCATAATAATGGAAAAATCTTTACCAATTCATCTCTAAATATCAAAGAATTGATTAATATAATTATATCAATTATTATAGAAAATATAAAAATAAAATTTTTTTATTTATGAACACCAACCTATTTGCTAACCATTCGGCACGCATTTCTGCTGTTCGAACGGCAAACATTGCCCGTGTCAATTCCTGTTCCAACTGTTTCCTTCCAATTCCTGTACATCGTGCTCTAGCTTGGCAAGCTCCATAACTTGCAATACTATTATCCGCACCAGCTCGCCAATCAACTAGAGGATCATATATAAACGCTTCTAACAAAGTTAATAAAGTTTCTCGTCCTCGGCGCATTACTCGAAGTGTATGTTCGCAAGCTAAACGAAATATACCCTAAAACATACATTTTAATTGTGTAATACTCATTTATAATACTCATTTATAATTATCATATTAGTTATATATCACTGATTTATAATAAAATAATGAATTATCATACCTCGACTCCAGTTACTCCTAGAGCTGTTTTGATATTTGGAGTCATTCTAAATGGCACTTTTTCTGGCACGCGTAATGTTTTACCTTTCTCAAAACAAACATTATAATCAATATGAACAACCTCGCCTGTATTTAAATCAACTAACACATTATCTAAATGTCTATCACCAAGACCAATAATATAACCAATAATCGACATTACAGCTACTGAATAAGAATAATTTTTGGTTGCTTGCCACCAACTTCCAGCATTTATACTATTACACCAAATTTCCCTACAATGATAAATAAAAATTAAAAAATATTGTTAATAATTTTTCTATATAAAAAAAAAAATAATTAGAAAATAGAAAGATAAGAATTAAGTATAAGGAAAGAAAAGAGAACTAACTTTGCCAACAAATCTTTAGGAGTTTCAGCCATTAAATCAGCTAAAACTTGTTTCAAAACTTGAACTGGCCATTCTTTTCTATTTTCTAAAGCAATTCCTCGTTCTTTTAAGAGTGGAGTTAATTTGTTGTAGAATAATTCAGATGGTCTTAATACCGCCGAACTACCAGTTTTATTGAGCATTGCGCTCTCTCTTTGTTGCCATCTCTTGTATAGAACGAATAAGGGTGTCACACCATCAACCCATTGTATTAAACCTGATCGTGGACCTAATGGTATAACCGAATAATGACGTGCCCTATATACTTTTTTTGAATCTCCTTTTTTTAACATCATAGTGTTGCATATATTTAAGAATTGCATGATTCTTTCATCCAAATGAAGATCTTCCAGACCTTTAAATAAATACGTATAAACATGTCCATCGGAACCATGAAACATGAGCTTTTTCGGTTTTGTCTTAGTTGGCAATATTTGAACATTATTATCTACAGATTCTATGGTAACAATTTTATTATCATTTGCAGCAACACCTGGCATAGCAATACATGTATTTCGTAAATTAGATAACACAGGACTGATATCGTTCATCGAGAGAGAATACGCAGCCCGCCTATGGACACGTTGAGCTAATTTTCCTTCCAATTGTTTCAAACATATACTCGCAATCTGTGGTTTCGCAGGATTCTTAGGATTATTTAATTTGCTAATAGCTTCTTCTATTGATGGACCAAATTTTTCCTGAAAACTTTTTTCATGCGGTGTTTCCGCTGGGACAGAAGTCATAGCCGAAAGATTTTCTAATATAAAAACTATTGGTTTCAATATAATTCGGTGTTTTTCCGCAATTAATTTATCTTTTTCTTCAATATTCAACCAAGCATTATCTTGTACTTTTTGTACTTCCATTTCTAATTGCTCAAATCGCTTAGAAATTTCAGTATGATGTTGACATAGCGTTGCTAACCATAACTCATCCCATAGCAATGTAATTCGACGCAATTCTCTAACGAGTATTTTTACTTGTTCAATAGAATCTTGAATTCTGTTTGATAAGCAATCTACTAATTGTGAAAAACAGCAATCCATAAATTTTTCTTGTTCATCTTGATAAGCTATAGTAGAACTTTCAGTACCTACTTCTTCTTCTTCTTCGATAAAATCTAAATCATTTTGAGATGAATCAGTTTCCGTTTTCTCATAAAGAACTTTATCACAATTTTTCTTTTGACCAGAAACTGCTCCAACTACCGCTGGAAAGGTGATCAAATGTGGCGAATTCTCCGCAACTCTGCATAATAATTCAGATACTCGAGTCCGTACATAAGATTCAGGATGACTAAGTCTTGAAAATAGTTGCGGTATTATTTCTTTCCATGGAGCAGTAGGAGTCGAAGAAAGTCCAGACTCTAAAACATTTTGTAATTCGAGAGCGTGTTTTACAACTAATCGTAGTAATCTAAGCGTAGCTGTGATAGTAGCACAATCGTTGGCCTCTTTAATTGCGGCAAGTTGCAAATATTTGAAATACGCGTTTGCAGAAAGCTCATAATATGAGTAAATTCTCTTTTGTGCTTGTCTCCAGATATCGACCAACATTGCAAGATGATCAATGCTAACACGATTTAATATTGGCACGTTACGTAATTGATTTTCTATCATATCTGAAGTATTAACATCATTAGTAGTATCTGTTATTTCACCTTCGTCTTCAGGAATTGTTTTACTTTGAGACAAAATTGAAAAAATGGTATTCAAATCGGATTCACTCGTATCAAATGGCAATAAATCTCGTATGGTTGCTCTATCCGCATCAGTTAATTGACCTGAATTCGAATTATCCACAATCTTTCTACCCCATTTATAACACCAACTTGCGAAACTACACCATGCAAGTGGTAAATCTGGACATTGATTTACACCAAGTTGTGTTAATCTACCGATTATCATATCCGAAACTGGTATTGAACTCGTGGTGGGTCCAAATAGCTTATTCATCAGACCATCGTTATGAGTAGCTTCAAATTCAAGTAATTGTTCCAACTGACCGTTTTCGACATTACCAACTTCTTGTTGTATCCACTTACCAAGAGTTAAAAGAAGAATTGTACCATTCTCACGTAAATCATCCGATTGTTCTCCATCAACAATAGTTCGAGATATTCCAAGTGCAGTTGCACTACATACTTTTAACGCTTTATTGACTCGTTCCATATCGTATAATAATTTTGAAAATTCACGAAATGCACGTATATTATTTTTTGACCACTTTACATGCATCACATTCTTTAGAATATCATCGGTTATTTGATCGAAATCAGAATTAATATAATTTCGTTCGATTCCTTCAAATTGACAAAGTTCTCGTTCAGATCTCAAATAATTGAGAAGTTCTCGTTTCGCCAACTCAAAGTTACCTTCCTTTCTTGCAATTCGAACGATATGTAGTCGTAAATCAGCTACTTCATTGTTATCTAACCGCATTTCAAGACTATTATTCTTTTTTGTTCTTCCGAAGTAATCTGACCACCATAAAATTCGTGTCAATATGTTTGAATCCATATGATCAAGTTTTTCACTTTTATATAGATCGAATATATTTTCTTCTTTGCCAGACAACATATTTTTCAATCCATCTGTCGAAAATCGTATTAATACAGATTCATTTAAATATTCCGAAGGAACATTTCTTAGACCTTCCTCCATAGTTTTAGCTGCTACTCTTCGACATCGTTCAATTTCTTCCTCAAAATAATCTTTATAATCGTTCATATAAATCCTAAGTGCAATATTGGTTAATGTATTTCCACATTCGATTAGTGTTTTAGCACAACTCCGATTTCCTGCTTTACCAATTCTGTCATCCAGTAAATTCCAATCAGTTAAATCGTCTAGACATATACTTTCATTATTCTCGAACTTTTTCAAACATTTCGCTTGTCGAGAAGTATTGTTTTCTATTATTAATTGTTTTTTAAGAATGGCATTTTTATCTCGTCCAAGAATTTCAGTTTCTTGCAGTTTCCAAATCTCTAATTGAGACCAATCACTAACAGCTTCATAACAATGGGATAATCGTTGCATACAAAAACCAAGTACTTGATTATCCCCTTCAGATTTGAAACATTTATTTTTTCCATCAGAAACTTCCTCATTTCCGCTAGTGCCATCAGCACCATTAGTGCTAATTCCATCGGTCAAATCTTCTCCTTCTTCTTCATGATCTATATCTCTTCCAGATCGATTGTTTACAATACGTATATGTTCCTCAATAATTAATTTGTATGCTTCAGCAGCAGATTCATAGCGATTTGCAGCTTCTTCCATAGCAGCTTTTAACCAAGGGAATTTTCTTTCTTTTTCTTTGGTGTAAACGTAAAGACCTTGTAATGCTTCTGCTTCTCCCAACATTACCATAGCTTGTGCCGTACAGAGCGTCGCTCTTTCAAATTCGATACCCTGTGTATTATCGCTATTACTTAAATCTTCTAATAATCTTTGACTATTCCTTAAAGCGCTACTAGCTAATCCAGAATGCAATGATACTACACATAATGCTAATCGAATACGATTCAACCATTCTTTACAAGTCGATTTATTTGTATGAAAGAAAGTTCTAACTGGCTTTGATAACGGTAACAGTGCAATTGCACAACCTTCTGCAGCATTATGTATTACTCTTTCAAGATGTTCAAGAAATTCAATAAATAATCGCACACGAGTATGTTCGCTTAATAAATGATCTAAACTTCGTTTTTCTTTCTTTGTTGCCTCAAAACTGTATGATATTTCACGTGCTAGAGTTTTTAAAGCACTTTCGATCGATGTAAACGTTTCTTGTGGCTTTCCTAATGGAGTACGAAGTTTATTTGTCACACAATGTTGAGCTGCTTCGAAACCAGCCCAGAAATATAGAAAGGATCGATTGGCAAGTGCTAAACGATACATTTTCTTGGTGGTATCATTTTCAGATCTATAAATAAAAATATATTATAATAAATAAAATATATTATATAATTTTCTAATTATCATAATCAAAATAAATCCAATGATAATTTTACTATTTTTACTTACACAATTGGCCAACATAAAGTAAATATTTCTGATAACTCTGATGCATCCAAATATTGCTCTTGCAATAGAAAAGCCATATAAGTCTTAAAATGTTGTGCTTGCATTTCACCAGTATTGGTTCCTCGCATATGTAATCTTTGAGCAAGAATTAAAGACTCAGTTGAATAACTTTTAAATCCCTGATATTTCTGTAAAAAACAAAATGTTTAAATTAATTATCCTTTTATTTTTAAAGTAATTTTTTAAATTTACCTTCGTTTCCGATAATAAGCACTCTTTGTTGAATTTTGGTATCACAATATTTAGAGGCACCTGTGTTAATAATGAGCCATACTTATCTCGTACTATTTCATCTCGTGAAGTTAAATGTAATATCACTAAGTCCACGACAGACATATACATTTCTTCTTTCCAAGTGACATTCTTTGCATTTAATAAAATTTCAAAGAGATCACAAACAGCAATAGAAATATCTCGATCGAGAGTAGCTCCACAGGAAATAAGGCTTGCAAGAACATTCTCATATTCTTTTGTTTTACTCAAAATACCGATATAATTTTCTGCTTGTACACAAATTTCTTGCATCCATGTTGATAGAAGTAATAAAGTTTGCTCTGGTGTGTATTCATTATAACTTTTTGCTATTAAGTTTAAAATTATAGATAGATGACCGCTAGTAGGTGATGTTGTTGGTACATCCAATGCTCCTGGAAACATATCTATTGGACGACAAGCTGTAGTTCCAGTTATTAAACTTGAACTCGGCACAAAATGATTATATCTAGAATAAAAAAAATGGCACAATTAAAACAGCTAATCTAATATCTTAGACATTATCTTTTCTTATCTCTTACCTAGAACAATGCGCATATAACAAATATAAAATGCTATATTGTAAAAATGGACTAGTTGATGATAAATTGCTGTCATAAGGTTTTAATTTAACTGCCAATAGCTCCAAAATACTCGGTTTTAATGCCCACATGCCAATGATTGAATTGCTCGCGTTTGCTACGAGAAATATGATTACAAAATTATAAATATATATAACAAATTCAGTTTGCTTTCATTCAAATAATTATTATACTTTGTTTCATAATATATATAATTCGTTTTTATATATTTACCTATATCAGAAAGAGCTCTTAGCAGAAAAATAACTACGATTTCTGCATCATTCTTTTTATATTTTATATTATCAAGCAATGGATTATCTGTTACTAAACATTCGATATCTGTTAAAATAAGTTTATAAGCAATTTCCAAATCCGATAATATGTAGCGATATGATTCTTGTAATAACGGAATATTTTTTAGACTAAGAAGACTATGATATACTCCAAGACTGGCATTTTGAATAGAAATCGAATCACGGAATCTCAATTTAAGTAACGCGGAATCTTTTCCAAGCAATTTGTGTACTAAATCGAGAGGTAAATTTGCAGAGACTTCTTTTATTATCTTGGAAATAGTATTTAACATAGATATTATTGTATCATCCCAAAAAATATTAATTCTTTTTAGTTGAAGATCAATAAATTTGTAAAGTAATTCATGATTCTTTGTTATACGACTCTGAAGATGACCTAGTAATAAAAATGCACATTCATTTGCAACAACTATCAGTTCTTCTTTCTCCTCTGTTAAATCTGGATCTTTTTTTACTTTTAATTCCATCCATCGAATAATATTTAACAATGATTCTGTTTCTTTCAATGAAATCTCTTTTTCAATATTTTGTTTTAAATTTTTTAATTCATTTTTATTTAAATTCAAAGATTTAAACATATTAATAACATCCTCTTCAATTATTTCTGACTTATTAGAATTTTTTAAAGGGATAACGCCTCTCAAATTTTTAATGCATTTTAATAATTCATCGACACTTTCAGATGTAAAAGTAAAATTCGAAACCCAGATTTCATTATCATCATCCAATTCGATCGCTTTGACGACTGTTTTTAACATTTTTGATAAACAATCAGATAAAAATGACCACTGTACATTTGGCGTAAGATTAGGATTCAAATGCTCGGATATACTTTTCGTAACTGTATTAAATACCGAGATTAAGGATGTAATACGCCGAATACATTCTTTAGGTGTCGGAGATGCTTCATCGCCAGGAGAATTTTTTCCAGATTCTGGTAAAGGCAGTTCTTCATCATAGCTTTCCATGTCCTCCAGGAATTGTCCCAATAAAGTCAAAGTAAATTGTAAATCTGCTATCCAGAAAGTTCGTAATCTTTGCAAACTACGACTGGCATAAGTTGCAATTGTTTTTTGCTGAGTTGAATCAATATGCCAGCCAACTAATATATCAACTGTATCACGGAAATGGTTTGAAAACGTTTCAGGATAAGATTCCATTATTAATAATATTGCATCCACTGTTGCTACAAATAAGTCTGATCGATTAACATTTTCCAGCGTCGATTGCAATTGTGACATCATTAGCTAAAAACATATTGGTATATTCTAAATAATTAATGAATAAAATTTAAAAGAGACAAAAAAAAAATTTAAATACCACTGAAAATTCTTTCAGCCTTGGTGCTTCTGCATCTAACTTAAAAGCTTCAATAAATGATTTAATTAAAAGGCACTTTATATCATCTTTCCGTTCCAATGAATATTTATTAAAGACCCAATCCATATATCTATAAATATAATAATCACAAAATTTCATTTACAATGAAAAGATTTTTTGTGAACATAAAATATTATTAAATTATTTGTTTACCGTTTGAAATCCTGCTCAGTTGCATATCCAATACGTCCTAAACATTTTGCAACTTGATATTTTGCTTCTGGTCCAGGACCAGTATGTAATATATCTAATAGGCTCTCACAGATAACATCCAAATTTCGTCTTATGTATCTTTGATTTTCAAGTGCTATTATACCTTCTTGTGCTTGTTTACATAACACCATAAAATGATCATAATCATCTTCTCGACACAATCTTCTTAAAAGTTTAGAAATTCTAGAATCTTCTATAATATGATAAATTCATTTATTACATTTAAATTTATTAAATATATTTTTATAATTTATATTTAAATTCAATAAAAACATTATATTTAATAATTATCTTAAAAATAAAAATTTATACCATTTATTCTTTTGTCGTCATAATATTTTCCTTGTACATTTTCTTGATTTTTCAACGATTCTTGAAATTTTGATCTAGTTGTAGGGTAATAACTAGTTTCTGTATTAGAATCACGTTCAATAGGTGTTTTTTTAAAGGCTCTACCCCGTAAAGCACCTCTGGCACGATCTCCAGAGCTACCTCCTCGAGCCATTCGAAATTCATTGCGTGGAACACCTCCAATTCTGTAATGATGCAAATATTTATTAAAAAAATTAAAATATATTAATAATAAGAAAATTAATTTACCTTGGCTTAAATCTGGAGAAACTATGATCAGATGAATAGTTGTTTGTAGTTCTTGGACAAATGACCAAAGTGCCTCTTGGAGCATTAAAATCATTTGAATTATATCCACTCAAAACACTGACATCTCCTTTCTCCAATACATTAGCTCGATTATTACCAACAGATTCTTCCTGTATCTCCGAACACTTAGATCCACGTAGCTTTGTGCTAATATTAGAGTTCCCACAGCTATTCATTACATTACTCTGCAGATGATCTGCATGACCTATACTTTGCATTAATAATATACCAATCACGGATAATAATAATTTTTTATATCAATAAATAATAAAAACCGTATATGTATAGTTGAATATGATTTATCAGAATTCAGCAACTTTCACATATTCTTAAGGTTATATTATTTGAACCTACATCTTTGGTGTACAAAGTTCAATGGTCATAAAATAAACGAAAAGTAATAATGAAAAAATAAGATAAATCATACAATACAATTAAAAATGTATTATAAAGTTTGTTAAGTAAAAGCGACGTTCAAGTTATTTACGTATAAAAGATACGATAATTCATAAAATAATTAAGTATCGCAATATCTACTTTATCGTATCGTTCTTTTTTAAATATTTCTCCTTTGGAAAGTAATATCGAAATTGCATGGAACACACTTTGATTTCTCGTGAAAAATATTTCGTACTAATAATCGAAAAGAAATATCGAAAGGTGAAATAGTATCGTAACCGATTCTCCACGCGTTCGATCTATAGGTACACACCGTATCGACAACAACCGATTAATAGAATTTATATAAAAATTTATGGATTAATAAAAATTAAAATATATTATAATTTTAATTCTGTATTATTATATAGAAATAGAAAGTTCTTTGGAATTTTCCAAAAATCATACGGAAATCTGTTTAAATTAACTTATTTAGGTGGATACACAAGAACCAACCACGAAATTGAAATGAATTAAACACTATTTATGAGTGGTATCTTCCACATTGTTCATTGACATGCTTTCTGTAAACATCAAGTACCATTCTTGACATGTCTTTTTTATTTTAAAATTTTTATTGAAATAATATACAAAAAAAAGAATTATATATTAATAAAGTAAAAATTAAAAATATAAAAAAATAATTAAATTAATTATTGAATATATAAATTTTAAATGATAATAAATTTTCTAACAAAATAAATAAACAATGCACTTATAAAAAAATTATTTAAAACAATTTTGTATTTACGTTACATTTTTACGGAAATGAAATTAAGTTTAATGAAAATATAAAGGGATTAAATAAAAAGTAAACCAATGTAAAATACCATTAAAATAATATCCTGATCAACTCTGATATCCAATTGGTCTAGATCGATCAATATGATCAAAAAATTATAAAAAAATAATAAATGATATTATAGATAAACAAATACACCTTATGAAATTTATAAAAAATAAATTTATAGTTATACGCAATTATACATAATCACTATTTTTGACACAATTGTTTCAAATGGAAGCCACACTACCTTTTTATAATTTAAAACTATATATTTATTATATACTATTATTTTACAATAGTTCCAATTTAAATATCATTTAGCAGTTAAAAATATTTTATTACCTTTTTCGTTTTATAACTTGTTTTGTTAGGTTACTATTTAATCTTAAACGAAAACGTGTCAGTAATTTTAATTGATTTTCTCACTAAATTTTATATATTTGAGGATGAGCCTTTACAGAATTCAATTCTTCGTTTTCAATGCATATTACGAATATTGTATATTTTTACATATATGTATATAAATTACAATATACTTTTACTAATATATATATATATATATATAATGTTATAATTATTTGTATAAGATATATTATTTTTGTAAATAATGTTATTAAAAAAATATATAATGTATTATAAGAATTTTTAATTTCTTGAACTCAATAATTTTATATTATATATTTTTATTATAAGTTCTTTTATATTGTATTTTGTATGTCATAATTTATATTGTATATTTTAAATAGTAGTTTGCAAGATATTTTATAATTATAATAATTTCTTTTATATATTACATTTACAAGTTTCAAAAGTGCAAATTTTGAATGGCATAAAACAAAAAAAATTTTGAAAGAAAAAAACAAAAAATTAAATAAAAAAATATTAAATTAAAATTAATACATAAAAATATTGCAATATTATATTGAATTAAAATATGATGTCACTTCAATAATTCATTTAGTAAATTTTCATTAATTTTTCATTATAGATTAAAAATCTTTAATTAAAAGTTATAGTTATATTGGAAAAGTTTATATATCAATATATTTATGATTTATAATTTCATTAAATTTTTCTACTAATGGTTTAATACATTAATAGTATAATAGCTTAATGATAAAATGTAATGAATATTACAATAAAACTATAATACATTTCAAAATTCAATTGAATTAATGATCATCTTTATCTTTTGAATCAATTTTTTCACCAAATTTCTCTTGACTATCTTCTGTATGAGGCCAAGTTGTAGGTTCTCTATCAGGTCTTAAGGTTCCTTCTGGCTGTATATCAGAAAAATCTTCCATTGTCATTTCTGAAAATGGTATCATATTTTTTATCTGATCCAAACTTTGCTGTAATTCTCCAATTTGACTATTTACTTCTTGAATGAAACTTTGTATTTTATTAGCCTGTAATATATCCAATAGTATTAACTTAATTAATAATATTAATTTTAAGATAAATATAAAAGAAAAATAAATACAAATTACCATTTCCTTTTGTTCAGTATCAATTGCTGCTGTATATTTATCTGTTGGATATGGTACTGATATTGCTTCATATTCTTTATAAAATTTATCAACTAAACCAGGAGTAACAATAGTTTTTTTATAATATGTCCAATCAATTTTTGGTAAATCTTCTGGATAAGTCATCATACTGTAAAACAAATTTTTTTTTTTTGATTATATTATATCTCTTTATATATCTTTTTTATAAAATAAATATGATAATTCGTTTATATTAATATACAAAATTTTTTAACAACAGATTTTTTTCTTATTTTTGTGTTATTTTTTTAATAAATTATTATCGCAACATATAATTATCTTCAAATTATCTCTAAAAAAGGTTATGATCATTTAATTTTGTATTTAGTATAAAAAATAAATAAAAAAAAGAAAAAGAAAAAAATTATAATTTCATCAATATTCATAAAAAAGAAATAATATATTTTAAAAGTCATCTAGTCATTCTAATATATATTTTAAATGATAAAATTTAATATGTATTCGTGAAAATATTATATAACTATGTCATCGAGTTTAACTAACCGTTGTAAATATCTATCAGATTTAGATTTAAAAGCTGTCAAAGCAGCTTTCTCAGAGCTTGGAATTCGTTCAGTTATAGCAGACCAATTTATTGCTTTAAGTGCTTTTCGTGACATTTCTTTGTCAAAATTCTTTCGCTTAACGTTACACAATCTCTAATACAACTTCTGGATAACTACCGACCACGAATATGTATTTTTCTCGTAATATCGATTAGTTGAATTTCTGTGATCAAAACGAGATATCGAATATATATACTCGATATAAATATTCGATTTAAATATATTGATTTAATCGATACTTGTTCATTATAAACTGAAGCATTTAAATATTTATACATAAAAATATAATTTCAATATATTATATTATAAATATAAATAATATTAAATAATTGAATATAATTGTATTTATTCAAATATATAAAAAAAGAAAACTATGTATGTTTCTAAAAAAATCTTTGTTTTATATATTGAATGAAAAATTATTTATCACTTATTCATAAATAATTATATATTATGTCAATTAATCTTATGATACAATTTGATTTTTGATTTTTTATACAATATGTACAAATTACTTTTAAATTTTCTGTTAATTTCAAAATTTATAATTTTAATTTAAAAATATAAAATTAATAGCAGAGAATTTTATTAGTTTGTTATAAAATTAAGAAAAAAAATAAAAAAAAAATCAAGGTTCATTATACTCATAGCTAATACAAGTGTTTATACTACATATAGTATACATTAATATATAAGATGTAAATTTATTTATATTACTTATTATAATATAGTATACATAAATTTACACATATTCAACACAAGAATATAATCATTGTCATGCGTACTTACATACGTGCATTCATCATATAAGTACAATCATACATATAGCATAGTAAATCTGTAGTGATGAAGCGCAGACGAAAGGATCGATAAAAGAGGAAGATCGTGGTCACGGGGTACATGGAGTATAGAAAAGGAAAGTAGAATAGGAAAGGCATAGAAAGAGTGAAATAGACATTTGGTGAGTGTAAATAGATGCGAGATTGTGGGGTGCTGTGGGAATAAGGTGGGCGGAGAGGGCGGAGTGGGCGGCAATGGTCAGGCGGTGAGCATAAAGAGGATAGGATAATATCGGTGCGCGACCTCCGCGGTAGCTTCAAGTTCGCCGCTTTAATACCGGCAGATCTATGATGTAGTTATGCCGAAGAAAAGTACTAGACATGTGAGAAACTCGGGATTAGCGAGAAGTTCTCATCATAAAAGCAGTAATCTTGGAACGACATCAGAATCGAAAACGAAACACTTTCTAAGCGTTCGCATTGGTCTTACCAACGGTAAACGTTGGCTTTCTCTCAAAAAACGCTTAGGTCTGTCAACGGATGAAGATGTTGCAGTTTATTTGTTGGATCTTGCTGAATCTGTTTCCAGGTAAGATTGTGGTGGATATTTATGATACATTAAACGTACATTTTTTTTCTTAATTTTAATTTTAAAATATTTAAATTGACGTTAATATTCTGTTCGCGTTATAAAAATTGTTTTAATCGATACTTAAACATTCATATCACTCGAAAGCGGGACTTCCCCTCTATTATGTCCAAACTTTCCCTCGAATCGCCATCTTGTGGGGTTGATATTAGAAGGGTGAAAGTAATCGATAATTTTTTATTCGTTAAAAATATAATCATTAATTGTATCGATTTCACTGATTTTTTATTGATTTTGATTTCCTTTGAGAACACGGATCGACCTGTACAGAAGAAATGTCTATTTTATTTAACTCCAAATACAAAATACGTGCAGGTAAATCAATTTTTCTTTAATATTTATAAAAATGCTAGTAATTGTTGACCGTTTTATATTTTAAGTTTGATTCCCCTTTTTTTTTATCTTTAGAGACTAATTAACTATACTATTAATATAATATTTCCTTATACCTAAATTTTATAGTATTTATTTGTTTTCACTTAATTACACATTTTTGTTTGTTAGACACAACACTAAATGCAATGGAGAAGAGAGAAAGGAAATGGTTCAGGATGAAAAGAATAAAACAGAAATATTGCAAACTGAAGATTTGATAGAAGATACAAAGGAATTTGTTCGTCGGAGTTTAAGAAAACAAAGTACTAGTACAGTTGTAGAATCTGAGACACTTTCTATTGATTCAGCACAAACCAAATTGTCTAATGATGTTGAAGTACATATTCAGCGTACCTCAAGATCTAAACATCATAAAAATAAAACAAAACATCATAAAGATAAACGAAAAAGAAGAAAACATTTTAAAGCTGAAAATATTATTTCACCACTTGAATCTGTTAAAAGATCTTCAAGTGACATAACATCAGCAGATGAAGATCAAATTTCCTTTAAAAAAGATAACTCTAAATCAGACAATGGAATAGATATTGAATCAAATTTAAAAAATAGTCTTCGTATTACTACAAAGACAGAATGTTATGACAAAGAAGATGTTATGACAAAGACTGAAAATTTAGATAGCATAGAATATGTAGAAAATGTAAATATTAACAAAAATGTACTTTATCATAATATTGAAGATGTTGATATGAAAGAAATTACAATGGTTAGTGATAGCAATGAACAATCACAATCTAAATTAGCAACATCATCAAATACTAAAAATACCAATAGAATTGTGGTAGAACAAATCCCAAATGCAAAAGATACAATATCTATCATAAATTCTCATGTCCAATCTGATGAGACAAAAGATGATGAGAATAATTCAGATGGTATGCAATGTGTTAATACAAATTCCAATTGTTCACATATTAATATAAATACAAATCAAGAAATAGAGGATCGGAAATTAAAAAAGAAACGAAAAGGAAAATATGATGTTGAAGAAGATGATGATGAAAATATAAAAGAAGATTCATGTGAAGATTTTATAGATGATTCTGTATATAAACATAGGAAAAAAAGACACAAACATACTAATGAACATAAAAATCGTAAACATCACGATGTACGAAAAGCACCACAAGATGGAATAATTACACAAGAAGATAAGAATATTTGTTCTATAATAGATGATAGAACTTCAATTACAATTCTTCAAAGTGAAAATGTTGAAAATCAAATGTCTGAGCCTCAAAGATTAGCTATTAAAATAAAACTCTGTCAAGAATGTAATAATCGTCATTTGCAAGATGCTTGTCCATTAATAACACCTCAGTATGCTATTTCAGATTCTATATCATATGAAGATTGGTTAAATAAATATAAAGAAAATACTGAAGTTGTAAAAGCCATAAAGTCAGAGGATCCTATGTCTGAAGGATACGGAAAAATAACAGAAGATAATGAATCAGATGATGAATCTTTATTGATTGAACAATCTAAAACAAAAATAAAAACTCAAAAAGAGGAAAAACAATTAACTATAGATTTGGATCGACCATTATATGCTAGAGATTCTTTACCTGAATGTTTTGAATTAAAAATAACTAATTCAGAACATGGACTTGGAATATATGCAAAAAGTTCTGTTCCAATGCATGTTAAACTAGGTCCTCTTGTTGGACAACCAGTTAGAGAGATGGATATTCCTGATGACTTTTCCATGAGACATATTTGGGAGGTAAAATCAATACAATATTTATTATATTTTGTATATATAAATTTTATTATATATATTTTATAAATTTTATTATTATATATAATATTTTTGTATATTAAATTTACTATGATTATAACTATTACTCTTAAAAAATTTCTATAATAAAATAATATATTTTTTTTTTTTTAGATAGATAATAATGGTAAAACTTTGTATGTAAGTACTACTAATCCACTAAAAAGTAATTGGATTCGTTATATTAGACCTGCTGAAACAAAAGAGGAAAGAAGTGTAGCTGTAATAACAAAACAAGGAGAATTACATCTTGTCACTACTCAAAATATCATATCAGGAATGGAATTAACTTATTGGGCAGACTCTCAATCTTCTGCATGGACACGAAAAAATAAAGTAGACAAAACGAGTATAGTATCATTTTTTTCTTTAAATTATGAATTAAATAAAAGTAAATGTCATTTTTAAAATTTTTTTTTTGTTTTATTTAGATTGTGGAGGATGTAATTTAAATTTTGCACATCCAATATACTATCGATTACATTGTTGTATCTTTCATGATACTAATTATAGTTTAACCATAAGAAAATATCATTGTAAGGTAAATAACATTTGAGTTATATTTTATATCAACTTTTTTGCATTTTTGAACTTAAATATACATTTATTTTATATTTCTAGGTATGTGGAGCTGCTGTTCTGGGTAAAGATAATATTATGAAACACGCAGCAGAATTACATGCGGGTCGAGGTGCATATCAATGTCAATATTGTAAAAAATTTTTTTTACGTTTAAATTATTTGGAAATGCATCGTACTTATGGATGTGCACAAAATCCACAACGTTCAAGACCATTATGCGATTTTTGTGGGCGTAAATTTTGTCAACCGCAAAAATTAAAAGTGCATATTAAACGAATGCATAGTGGTAAATATATTTTTATAACATAAAATACAACATAATATATAAATTTATCTCTAAAGTTTAATTGTAATTTAAATAAATATTTAGATATGTCTGAAGTTCTCCGGGAGTTTCAATGTAAATTATGTTTGAAACTTTTGGGATCTCGTGCTGCTCTTCAACGTCACATGAAAGAAGTTCATCATAAAGATGTAGTCGGTGCTGCAACCTGTGATCGATGTGGAAAAATATTTCAAAATAAAAGTAATCTCAAAATACATATGTTAACACATAGTGGAGTAAAACCATTCAAGTAAGATTGCAATATTTGTCTATGCAATATTATATATTTTATTAGCAAATTTGGTAAAAGCGTTTTTTTTTTTTTTTTGAATTGCAGATGTAAAGAAAATGGTTGTAAAGCAGCTTTTACTACTAAACAATGTTTACAATTTCATTACAAAAAGGTACATGGTCTTACAGAAGAAATGATGCCAAAAATTGAACGCTCTGTTGCTTATACTTTTGATGCATATAGTGGTGGACTTGTTGAAGATGTTGGTCGTGGAAAAAGTCCTCGACCAAGTAGAAAAACCTTTCAGGTTCGTTCTTTAACAAAATTTATTTTATTTTATAAATACTAATAAGAGTAAATCATTTCGAAACACGGTATTCGCTATGTAATTTATAATTTCAGCAAGAAAACGATTATAAAATATTTATAGATGATGGCAATTCCAAAAACGACTTAAGGATTGAAACGGAAAATATTTCTACACATTCAACCATAATCGAGTTTAGTACAAGTCCTACAAATAAATATAAAATGGAACATAATTCACGAATCTCAACTTCGTCATTTTTGATGGGTGCATCAACATCAAAAAGTACAGAAGCAGATGTATATGGTATATCCAGATTACAAAGTAAAGGAAGTAAAAAATGGCTTGGAGAATTTAATCCTCCAATTACTTCCGATATACTATCTAATACAATTCCTCATTTGTCAACAAGTGTTACAGAAAATACTTACGAATTCGAAGATACTAGAAAAGAAATTGGTGATAAAGTATCACCATCAACAAATAGAACACAAGATATTATTGAAAATACTAAATTAGGGCTTAGCGTTTATAGAAGAACTGAAAGTGCAAATGCTAGTTTATTAGTTGAGGCTGCTCTTGATGCTGCTGAACGGGATATAGGAGCAGTAACTAGTCCAATATTGGAGGATAATGATCGCGATACAAATCTCTATTCAATATCCAATCAATTACAATCTCCATTGCCTCAAAGATCACCAAATCATTTAGATTCTTATATACAGCAACAAGAGGAACTGATATCTCCTGCGCCGACACCAGATAATAGAAATACACCACCTACACATTTACATGTCGATTATCAAATACATCGACCCGTTGATTATATCAGTACACCAAGAACACATAATATCGATCAATATTTGCATCACGAAGAAATACCGCGAGTTTCTTCACCAAACAGTTATATACATATTCAACAAGAAACTTTGGTATCACCTTCAGCTACGCCAAATCGATATCAAGACGTGCATCATCATCATCATCACCATCATCATCACCATCATCATCAAATATCAGATAATTTATCTAGTGATGAAGGTGATTCAGTTGTGCAAAATCTTAGTCTTTCGGTAAAAGAAAAGACAATGCAATTAGATCTCTCAACATCGTATAAATATGATCCTCTTGAACAAGAATTCGCTAGAGAAAGAGCTAACTTCGAACCTCTTGTTCTTAATGGAGAACTTCAAGGATTGGATATGTCTGCTAGAGGATTTCATCATAATTTTGGTGTACAGATACAAAATGCGCGATATCATCATCATTTGTACGAAATTGCAGAAAGACAAAGTGTTGATCTTAGTAGGACTGGAAGTTATTCGATATCACCAACTCCTCTTTCAGTAACTTCCCAAGTATCGTCTGGTTCTTCGGTGGCAGTAGTTCCTCCACCACCGCCGCCTCCACCACCACCACCACCACCTCCGCCGCCTCCTCCTCCACCTCCGCCCCCTCCAGCTCCTCCTCCCCCACCTCCACCGCCACCGCCACCTCCTCCACCTCCTCCACCTTATCCTCATAGTGATGTTTTAAGAGTTGTTAGTTTAGATCTTACTCCTGGTGGACGTCACACTGTTGATCTCACTCTTTCAAGACCGCATCATTTGCACGGATCCAGTGCTCGTGTAATAACAAGTCCTCAACCTACAGGCTCTGGCAATGCACATATCGTACCTGACGCGATCGATGGACGAATTTTATCTTCTCCTCCACCGCCTTCTTTATCAGGATATAATCCAAATTATCCTGTAAGTCCTGCTCCATATCATCCACCAAGACCAGGATATCATCATTACTCCGGTTATTATTAACTAATGTACATTTTTACTATCTTTTCCCTATATTTTAATATATACCACCGAGTAATTTTTAAAAAATAATTTTTATTATAAAAATATTCAATCATAAATAATCAAAGATCATATAATATTACTTGTCATTAATATCAATGTTTTGACATAATATTACAAAATTCGTTTTTTATTTTTCGTTTTTTCTACTTAAAAATAACTAAGACCATGACTTAGTCGAAGTAAAATTCTTTTATATAAAAAATAAATGCAAGCCATTTTAGTCGACTTGGTCTTCCTTGCACATATATGATAATCGAAAGTCAACATAGATGCAGTAAACGTATAGAATTTTACCTTTGAAATTAAAGTACAACTTTGAAACAGAGAAGCGCACAAATATAATGAAACCAGTTACGTTAGATCAACTAGTTTTTGAGTGGTTTAAAGCACATGGTCGGATTAGTCAACCGGTCAAACGTGATTGTATTGTAAAGAGTGACATGTATCTATTATTTTTGGAGCGAACTTTATTTTTTTAAACTATTTACGAACAAAATTGTAGAAATTCTTTCTGCATTTAGAAGTACAATGCATGATTAGAAAAAAAAAAATTAATTTCTCAGTTACACAATTCTTAGATCATATATTTATATATATTGTTCTTTTATCTATAATCATAAAATTTTTCGTTAATTGATAGTAAATTTTTTCAAAGCAATTGTTACTTCATATGAAATGTTACTTAACTTTTAGCATATATTCTTCTACTTCTTGTTTATCAATGAAAAAGTATTTGTAAGATTAACGGTAGTTGTTATAAATTTTTGCAACAGTATTTTTCGGGCGATTAATCAACGACGTCAACATTGTTTCGTTTGCCGTCGTTGTTATTTTCAAACTTAGATTCATAGTCAGTTTATCGTACATGAAGTCAAAGAAATAATAATTGAATAAATGAGAGAATAAAGAGCTGCGATATTATTAATGCATGAAAAATTTTTACTCTCGAAAAATATTGTGAATTGTAATTCGGTATGACGGTTCACAATCTGCGAAATAAATCAATCGATGCCTAATGATAGTTATAAGTCTATTTATATGGTGATATTGACACTTAAACGTTTATTTTTATTCTAGTCACTCTCATATTACATTTGAAGTAATATTAGTTATCATATATTAGACATTATAAATTTCTATATTATATCAAAATTGCAACGATTATTTTATTTGCATAAACAAAATTTTTCAATTGTTAAAATAAATATAAGCATATATATATATATATATTACAATTAAGATTAGTAATAATAACAACCGAACTTATTTAAAAAGTATATAACAAAATACATGTAGTTTACAGCTTTTTTCAATCTTTTTTGCTAATTATTTGCTAGTAAGTACCAAAGAATGAAAAATTGTGCAACCTTTGTGCCAAATAGATAAGATATTTATCGTATATGTACAGTTTTAATATAAGCGCACCGATTATTTTGTATTATATAAAAATATTCGTAGAATTAACAATAGATAGATATATAAATATATAATTTTATGTATGCATGTATGATGTATGCAAGTATATATAAGTATGTATGCATATAATTGAATGTGTGTATGTTGCACGTCCTTTTTAAATAATACAATTATAAATTTTTAATTTTTGAAGTAAATTTCGATTAATTGTTTACCTTCTTAATAATACTGATATTTAATTTATTTTTTACATTATATATTATATTATATAGATTTTTGCAATTTAGGGCTTCCTGTTATATTTTAATTAATAATTATACACTTTATATTTTATTATTTATATTTCTTTTCATTTCAAATAATAACAGAAATAATCAAGAAAATTATTTCTTTCTTAATATTTATGTATTCATATATAATATTACTAGTTACAATTACATAAAACAACAATGTTCATAAGTACAAATATAACACGAATACATACATTTGTATTGAATTTCTTAATATGGCAAAAGAATTAATGGAATAAATGATAAAAATAATAAAAATAAATAAAAATAATTATAAAAGTTATATTTTTTTATTATAACAATTGTCAACTAAAGATTACAGGAAGAAAAAATTATAATATTATTTATTAACCTCATTGATCATCGTATTCTCATTTAAATTGACGCACATCTTCGCGCTTCTGAATGTAGCGACATCGACTTATATTATCAAAATGTTCCTCTCTATTCAACGATACGTATATATATAAGGCATATGCATGATATATTGAGCCGAGTCGAGCTGAGATCCCTAGTTTTGCAGTTGTTCATCGGTGTCATTTTATAATATATACTCTTATTAAAGAAAGGTTTCCAAAAAGCAAAAAAATGGTTAGCTCGGTTGTGCGGTCTTCTTTGTTATATCCTACGGTAAATAATAATTCTCCTTTTTCCTTTTTTTTAATTATTAAAAAATATCATTTATTATATATTAAGATAAGATCACTTATTTAAATGTTATATAAACGGGTCGATACTGTTCGGTACGTCAATTTTTGTCGCATTAGTTACATAGACTACAGTGTATTAAGTAATTATATTCTTTCTTCAATAAACTTTAATATTTTCTTTTTATCTTCTCTTTATAATTTTCTAACAATTGTTTTTATATATTCCTTTTAAATACAAATATATTTTAAGAATAGTTTTCTTTTCTAAAATTTTAAAATTAAAAATAAAAAATAAAAAAGATATGAAAAAATATGAAGATAAATATATATCAAAATTGAAAACATTTTTTAATATATATTAGGTTAGACATTATGCAGTTGCAGCAACTGTATCAAAGTGTGCTGCACTAGCTCCTGAAATTAAAGTTTTAAACAATAAAGTTACTGTTGCTGCTTACGATAATCATGCTCCAATTGCACAAGTTTCCATTGTATTCAGGTATTTAAAATTTAAATAAGTTACATATATCAATCACAATATTTCTTATGCATATATTATTATATATAAATATTTTATTTATAGAGCTGGATCACGAAATGAAACACATGATACACAAGGCACAGCACATTATTTGCGAATAGCTGCAGGATTAAGTACATCTTGTGCAACTAGTTTTGCCATAACAAGAAATATTCAACAACGTGGTGGAAATTTAATAACTACTGTTGATCGTGAAAGTATAGCATATACCTTGCAAATTACTAAAAACAATTTGTAAGATTTTTTTTATTTGCTATTTGCATTAAAATGAAATTTTTTTTATAAACTATTTGCTTTTTATTATATATAGAATAGATGCTCTTCAATATCTGGAATTTGCTGCTACTAAGCAAATTTTTAAACCATGGGAAGTAGCTGATGAATTGCCTAGATTAAAATATGAACTCTTTTCCTTATCTGATACAGTTCTAATATTGGAACTTTTACATAAAGCAGCTTATCGTAATGGTCTTGGATATTCTCTTTTTTGTCCAGAACATCAATTAGGTAAAATTGGTACAGAAAGTGTAAGTATAATAACTTTTATACAATATAAAATTTCTGCCAAATAATGATCTTATGATTTTTTTTTATTTATAGTTACAACATTTTGTCAATACTTGGTGTACTGCACCTAGATGTGCAGTTGTTGGCACTGGTGTTTCATTATCAGAGCTTACTGCTTTAGGATCAAATTTAAGTATTGGATCAACAGATAATACAAATGAGGCATCAAAATATTATGGTGGAGAAATTCGTAAGGAAACTGGATCAGATTTGACTACTGTAGCAATAGCAGTAGAAGGTGTAAGCTTGAAAAATGAGAATGATGCATTAGCATGTGCAATACTTCAAAGAGCATCCGGTAGTGGACCAAGAGTTAAGTGGGGATCTAGTCCTAGTTCATTGCATAAACAAGTTTCAAGTGCTGCAGGCAGGGAACCATTTGGTTTATCAACTTTTAATGCTAGTTATACAGATTCAGGACTTTTTGGCGTTGTTTTATGCTCAACGTCTAATGTAGCAGGATTTGTAAGTAATATAAAACATCATAATTATAATAAATATAATTTTCATATATATATTAATATTAATTTATATTATATTTATAGTTGACAAAAGCAGCCTGCGAATGGTTGAAATGTTTTAAATTATCCGATGATGATATTACTCGTGGTAAAAACATATTAAAAACTGAAGTTCTGGATGCAGCAGATAATTCACTTTGTTTATTGGAAAGTATGCAACAACAAGCTGTGCTTAAAGGGAAAATTTCTTCACCAACATCACTAGTTAATGATATTGATAAAATTTCCGCATCTGATGTTAAAGATGTATGTTTATTTATAGTATAATTCTTCTTTCTATACTTATTGCATTCTTCAACTATACTTGATATTAATGCAAATAAATGTTTTCCAGATTGCAGGCAAACTTATTAAAGGAAAATTATCTGTAGCTGCTATTGGTAATTTGAAGACTGTACCATATATTGATGAATTAAAATAGATTTAGTAGATTTTTATTTAAAGAAATAAATACCGAACTACCAAAACAAATATCGATTCTTTTCAAGAGATTGAGATTAAGGTGCATGAAAATTACCAATCAAAATTGGTACAAAATATTTAATATTTGTGTGCATTTCATTGCAGTGAACGTAATTCTGTAGATATGAATAAAAATAAAAATTCTTTATTTCCAATTTTTGTTTTTATATATATTATTTTTAATCTTTTCCTAAAAATTGTTAAGTTTATATATATATATATATATATAATATTAAAAGTATTTTACAATTTTATTTACATATTAATAATGTTATAAGAAATAATTAACATTAAAGATATTTACATGTATACATTTGAATTATTATTAGAAATTATTATATGTTTACATTATTAATAGAGTTTTATTTCTTCTATCGTATAAAATTTGTTACGATTTTTTTGTATTAGTTTAGATGACTTGCCATTAATTGTTCTTATTAAAATGGGCCTCATGTTTTCCATATCTTTAAATACTTGTAACTGAAAAGAAAATTTATATAATATAGAAAATAGAGTACTTATTAAATAATTATTAAAACAATTTTACATTTTGCTTGAATTACAACTATATATAACTTACATGACTGTCTAAAACATAATTAAGTTTATTAAGTAGCAGTGATACTTCTGGATCTCGTGATAATACATAATGTTGATAATGAGATTCTAACAAAAGACTGGACCATTCATACAATTGTTTATCACTTGGTTGCTGTGCAATATCGTAATAAAAATCTTCAGCATCTAATTTTTGTATTAAATAATGTAATAATCGAAGAATTTCATTAAAATTTAAACCATTTTTAAGAAATGACGATAAAGAAATATCAGAATAAGTAAGACTAAAAATTTTATCAAGAAAATCATTTCTTGAATATAAGCTTTTAGTTATCAAATTGTGATCTGTACCATTTTGTAACGGTAAAAATGTTTCATCAGGATTTCTTAGTGCAAAGATTAAAAGATCAGTTAATAATTTTTCTGGTAAATCTTTAAAATTATTTAAACACCATACGATTGCTTCTACATCTTTGGACTCTATTAATTGTGGGATTAATATTTCTTGTATTGCAGCATCACTCAGTCCTTCATTTATATAAGATGATACTTGTTCAGAAATTTTTATTGGAATATGGATTTTTGGTTTAATAGAAGCTTTTCCATTCTTTTCCCATTGAGTTATTGTTGACTCTTGTATTACAACAATTTCATTATTTTCATTATTATCATCATCATTTTTAAAACGTAAGGATGATCCAAGTAAAGTTGCTATTTTCTGAGGTGCTAGATGAAAAGGTGCAATTGCTAAATGTCTATTAGCAGCAAGTAACAATTTATCCTCAATTTTCCATAGTTTTGCATCTTTTGTATACAACTTCAATTTCTGTGCATCTTGTATTAATTTGAATTGTACATTGTAAATCATTAATATG